AGGTATGTCATGGCTAACAATCATTTTTCCGGTGCTCCTGTGCACCGTCTCTTGCTGGAAGCTGACAGATACAGTTGGTGTACACCCATTGTGTCTGCATCCGCTGTGTTCCAAATGAACACATAGTTGACATGACAAATCACACTGGATTGGATGCACATTGTTCCTCAGTGATTCACACTTTGTTTTCTGTCCAATTTGAGAAGTGAAAAAAAAAAACAAGAGAGCTAAGTGGAATCACTCTGAGGAGTGTGGTGTGACTTTGAAAAGTTCTTCTTGTAAACTAAATTCTTGCTTCATACTGGCAGCATCAAACATGCAAATAAGTAAGAAAGGTGGGAGACCATTAGCACATTATATCTGATGGACAAACAGAGATGTCATGGCCAACCTATATTACTTTTCCCTGTTGAGAAGGAGAGAGAGGAGATGAGAGCAAGAGAACCTGTGTCGAGGTGACAGGCGTCTGTCCTTCTCCAGTCCATCTCCTCCATCTCTCAGGCATCTGAGGCAGTAATTGGTGTTGTCAGACACACAGAGAAGGACAGAACACACAGCACACACACACACTCACTCTCCTGCCCTTCAGCATGTACCCTAGGGCTTAAAGCAGGAGACGTTTGAGAGGAGAATTCACTACATTCTTTACCAGCTGTGAGCCAGAGAGACAGCAGGAGAGGCCAAGGCAGTAGGAGGTGGAAATGGAGGGTGTAACGGTGCAAGAGAGGGTGTAGGCAGTTTGGCCTCTGTGTGAGGTAGAGACATGTACAGTAGGAGAAGTGACAGGGGTGTGCAAATGCATCTGACAGAGAGGCAGAGCAAGAGTATGTGTTTGAATAAGAGTGAGAGAGAGAGAGAGAGAGATTATGCAACTGCAGTGGTGACAAAGCAGATGAGTATGGCTTTATGTGACTGAGCAACAGAGCCATGGCCATCAGAGCAGCAGCGGGTGTAGTGCACACACACAAAAAATATGAATGACATAACACAAAAGAAATGTGTTAAAGTGGCAATGTCAAACATTACAGGATAAGACTGGCTTCATTTTTCTTACTGTCAGTTAATCCAATTAAAAGACGACACTTCTGTGCTACAGAGTTCCATTTTTGTTCGAAAGCTATACCTGTAAAGCCTCAACCAGATACACCGCTGCACAGAGTGACACCTTACTCACTTACAATATACACGGGCACTGTAGGTTATTTCTACATACTGTACAATGTCTAATCCCCCATTATCTGTACTCCTGTTTACACATTTGTGAAAAACAAAAAAACCACAGTTCCACTTAATTCATACGTCCTGTGTTTCCTAATACATTTTTATAAACAAACTGATATGTAATGATATGAGTGTATGAGAAATTGCTGTGTAATTTGATATTTATTATGTAAAAACAGAGACAGCGTTCAGTTGATTCTTTTCCAGTAAGTCTGTTCCAGTTATCACCATTTTAACCCAAAACAGCTGCACACAGCGACCAGCTGAAGATGCCAAATGTGTCTTTCTGTGTAGCTGTGAATTACAGGCAAGCAAAATATCCAGTGCGAAAGATAATGTTTCCGGTACTTAGCATTCAGTCTGTATATGGATCATTTTCCCTCAGCCTTTAAGATATCCTTCAGTTTCCTTCAAAAATTTCTCTTGAAATCCACAACTGAATATTAACTCAACACAACCATGTATATAAAATGTTGTGGTTCTGTTTTGAAAGACTTACATCTTCAATTAGAATGAATGGCCTTGCCGCAGAGAGCCAAAGTCAGGTTAGGAAAGCTAGAGGGCACTGAGAGATGGACTCATTTATTGTTATGGTGGTAGTTGTGTCTGGCCTTTAATAAAATTTGTTGACAGTAAGAAAAATCTATAATCACTGCAGCTTTATCCTTTACCAGCAACAAAATGTCAATATTACATCAATGTCAAGATGACTGGTAGCTTGTGTCACAGCATAGCATTGTGCTGGTGCTTGTGGTTCTCAAAAAAAAAAAAACGACCCAAATTCCCATGAAACACAGTCTATTGCTACAGAAACACGGCCTTCAACAACACTTTTTGTCGTAAAACATTAAGCAGACATAATCGAATCCAGTGTCCAATATCAAAACATATACACACATTTAAACAATACTGTCACCTCACTTATAATAAGAAGCAAAGACAGGGTGGGAAAGTAGAAACAGAAAAAGATGAACCCATGATCTATAAACATTTAACAAGAGCAGGCAGAGGAGATGAGGGCTGTGAGGAGGGGGAGGAGGAGGGGAACAGAAAGAAAAATGGTGAGGTAAAAAAGGAAGACGATATCAGAAAGAGATGGAGCAAAATGGGGGGCTTGTAGAGAGAGAGAACAGTTCCATTATAGAAGCAGACACCAGAGTTAGGTTAGAAAATAGCTGAGAGGAGGGACGAAAGCCAGAGATTGAGATTGAGGGGAAAAAAAGCTGTAATTGGAGGTATCTGGTGTTTGTCTAACACAGAGAGGCTAGTAATGATTCCATTAGCGCCTCACACCGAGAGAGAAAGAGAGAGGGTGAGAGAGAGAGACAGGGACACAAAGAGAAAGACAGCAAGAAAGAATAGCAGTCAAAAGGAGATAACGAGAGTGACACAGAGACAAAAAGAAGAGGCTTGAGAGGCAAAAACAATGTGAGAAAATTCACACTGAACTTTAGAAAAGAAAGCAGTGAGTGTCAGAGCAGCTAAATGGAAGAGAAGAACACAGACGCACACAAAAAGAACAAGAGAAAGAATTCAGCGTGTCCATTAAAAGGCTTGTTCACCTGCACAATGATGGTAATTACAAATGCCCCTCCAGTCCTTTGCCAAGCTCTCATCCTCACCTCAGCCCTTCATCTCTGTGTGACTGCAAACGAGAGAGGGTGATTTAAATGCATTAGCGGAGTGTGTTTTCCCTATGGAACACCCTCAGACTGTGTCAGGGCAGGACCCTTTTGTTTGGAGCTGATGCTAGGTGCTGAGAGGACTCTGTAAAAGCTTGGCCCTTGTTCTCTTAGGGACACATTAAAGCACAGAGTACTGGGTTGTTGTACTCTCTGTGTGCTCTCATGTCTTTGTTAAAAGCAGGCAGATTACAGATGCAGTTATATTAGCTGGCTAAGTGAATGGAACAATATCAGAATACAGACACATACAGGCAAAAGAGCAGAGGCGCCAAAGTAATTTCAAAAGAATGAAAGCTGGTTTCCAGGGGTATGAGTCTGGCATTATTTCACAATCAACAAACCAGTCCAGTTTGTTAGGCTGACATATATGGGACAGCAAATTCTCCTGCTGGATGAGGAGGAAATGTCATTGCTATGCAAATCCATCCCAAAATCCCACAAAAATGTTTTTCTTAATGCTGAGTAGGTGGCGCACATCCCTGCAGCGGAGAAGCAAAAATTCACCATGAAGGAATTAAAATCCATTGAAAAATGCCTTTTGATTGTTTCCAGAATAATTCATTTCAATTTCACTGAAATGTACTGAAATCAAAATCCTGGCGTTCCGTCCTGCATTTAAGAAACCTGGACCCCTGTTTTCCCTGAACACCATATTTGTAGTAAGTACAGGACACATATATTTCCTGACTTCTGACCTCAGACTGTCAATAAGAGCCCGCCATTACTTCTACACATACACATAACCATGAGCACATTATTGCTGAGTCTGAACTAGGTTGTTGAACATGCTTACATTGCTCTATTTAATCTCTCCAGAGTGATAAGACTCAGGCAGAAAACTCGTGAGGTCACGGAGATCACTGAGGTCAACCCCTTACTGTGTAAGACTGAATTTAAATAAAGCTTCAGTAGAGAGATTATGGCAAAGACCTAAACACTGCAGGTAATACACTCATTTGTCAGTGAGATGACCTGCCAAATAACCAGAGCATGTCATTTTGCAAGAAAGATATGTAGCTCAACAGTCGGCGTTTCATAACCAAGATGCAGCCACAGCCTGTGCACATTACCAGTCTGCAAACTGCAGAGCACAGCTTGTTCTTATTCACTTGTCTGTGAAGCCCAACTGCCAAGTTTCTTGCTGTCTTGGCTGCTGCTTCTCCAAAACAACCAAAATTGCATTACGTGCACGAATTCCAAGTTTGCAGTGATGAATATCTATGATTCCATTTTCTTTTTGGGGAGGAAGTGAGCCTGTGGGGACAGGTGATGGTGTGAATCTAATACAGCTTGCTCACTCAAATGCATGCACACATAGTACACACACACTGCACACGCCATCTGTGGAGTTTTATGACTCAATAATCTGCTTCCTAAGGCATACCTTTTCCTCTCTTCCTACAACGCAAACACGCATAAATACACACTTTGCAACACACGCACACCACTCTCTTTTACTCAGCAGGGAAAATGAGATATTCAGCTCTGACAAACACACACACTCTAAATATAAGAGGAGATGCCTCAAAGCAACTCCTACCCTTTCCTCTGCAAGAACTGTCCTCAGAGTGTATAAAAGTCGCTCGGAGTGATGACACCCATGGTGACATGCAAAGTCACACACACGCACGCAGAAAGTGCATCAGTAACTGAGATACGTAGGCATTGTCATTCTGTGGTGTTTCATATAAAAATTCATAGAGTGACTAAGTATCTGTGCACACACATTCCAGAAAGACACACAGGCATGTGCAGATGCATATTTACACCTTACACATAAACACCTGAGAGTGCAGAATAATGGCTATAAGAGACAGTTTGTTGTTTGGCAATCGGATCTCTCACATCTGAAGGCCAGCCATTACGAGACTCGTATATACATGAATACACACTATACAACATGCGCTCAGGTGCATACTGCGCAGTAATAAAGTCACTTTTCATAGACACACAGAGCAAATACCTTGCAGCACCAAGCACACGTCTTTCTCTTGCACTCTTAATTTGTCCTTTTTATCTCTATCTCATGCACACACATTCCCACACTTATAAATTCATTCCACGCCTCTCCCCAGTGCCCCCACCCCAACTCACGCTGGCAGATGTCCTTGTTTTCCTCGAAGCCCGGTTTGCACACACATCTCCCAATGGGAACCAGCCAGCCTCCGTCTGCACTGCAGTACATTTTGGGAGCCTCAAATTCCTCTGAGGCATTCACACACATGCCATGGACCTCCACCAGTGCCGTGTCTCCGCCTGTTATGGTATCGGGGAACTGGGCCAAGTTAAGCACAGTGAGGGGACACTTCTTGTAGAAGACCCTGACTGAGACCAGAGCGATGCAGGCGCCAAGGTCCTGGAAGGCCAGGTAGAAACCCTTTTTACTCAGGTTGCTGATGTCGCGTACCTCTGTGTTCAGCTTCATGACGCGGTCGCCAACATCCACCTGTGGCCAAAGGACATTGACTGAAAGCACTGAGATTCAGTTCTAACTTTTTTTTCAGCCCTCTCAAAATAGCTGTTTGAAGCTCAACTGCATTTCCAAGACATGTAAATAAATGTCCTCAAAATCCTAACAATGTACCTACAGTAGCATTGGATAAGATTAAAGAACTTTGAATATAACACACAACCCAGATTTATTTTCTATGGGCAGGTGGCAAATGGTGAATATCTAATTTTGGAGTGCAACTCTTTCATTTGAGGATTAAACAAACACCGAAGCTTAATGCTAAAATCAATAGAATATCAGTATATAAAACAATGTAGGAGATAGCAAGCATACTGTGCAGCTCCAGTGGGAAGCGTCGTTCTTTAAAAAAGGGGGATAGAGCGCAAACATCTAAATTTAATTGAAAAGCCGCACACATTCAGTTGAGTGGTAAATACAAGGTCAATTGGAAGTCTCTTTTTTTTTTTTTTTTTACAATATTTGTCACATTATAATGTATCTAGTCATGCCCTATTTTATGTTCTGTACTGTGTGTGTACACAATGCACACGAGTGACTGTGTACTGTAACAATGTATGTTTACTAATTCTACAATATATAAAGTACACTTAAGTACCGGTGTGTGCTTATGCTACAGGATGTGACTGGTATATGTCTGTGTGTGACTGGCTGTGTCCGTACCTGTGTAAAGCTCTCATCTGCAGCGATAGTATCAATCTTGACATACTGGCTTTCCTTAATGAACCACAGGTTGGCATTATTGGACTCATAGTAGTACATGTTGAACGTCTGCAAAACAAACAGCGTGCGTTATCTGTCATGCTCTACACGTGTAAGTTATCAGACAAAACGCAGTAACAGTAACATAACACACAATAAAACTAGGCAGCTAAAAGTGAGAGAGTCCGTCCAGTGTGAAATTTTAACAAGGCTCCCTTAGCTCTCTAGCTATTCTGCTGCTTCTCTTTGAATCTCAGTCCATCTGTCTCGATGGCCAGTCAGCAACACTGTCTGTGGGTTCAAGAACGTGTAGCTCTATACTGTCTCATATTATCTCCACTACTCATTCTGGAGCTGTAATGAGAATGAAAAGGGTACAAGGGCAGACAAAGCAGAGAGAAGTGAATACAGAGGAGGGGTAATATAAGGCTGATATGAGAGAATGGGGGACAGTAAAATAGTAAAAATATATGGGGAGCCACAGAAAAGTCTCCAGAGAATTGTCTGTTTTCTTCTGCAGCTATTCTTTCACATCATTCATTCCTGGCCTCTTGTCTATTTATCTATTCATCAGCCATCAAAGAACGCTTCAATCTGTGTGTCTTTGTGTTTGGGTGTGTAAGGAGGGAGTTTTTCCTCCCCACTGTCGCCAAGTGCTTGCTCAAGGGGGATTTGTTGGGTTTTCCCTATGTAATAATATTGATAACAGTAAGGTCTAGACCTTACTCTGTAAAGTGTCCTGAGATGACTTTTGTTGTGATTTGGTGCTATACAAATAAAATTTGATTTGATTTGATTTGATTTATGGAATAGACAGGACTGAAAAATAAAATAATAAAAAAAGATGTTTAAAATGCCCTTGTGCTGCTCTATAATGTAGATAAACCTTGATTTTATATAAAACAGTAATTATAGCATGAACAAAGTCTATCACTTGTTGTCAGGCCTTACATTAATGTTACATAAATGTAAACAGCAAAACAGGCATGAAATCATCCAATGTTCTTTTAAATGTGGACATAAAAATTATTCCCTGTCACGATTTAATGTTTATTTCATAAGCACTTATATAAACTGGCTTCATGCACTTAACAAGCCACGTGTGTGCGTTAAGTGATGCAGACCTCTTTGCAGGTACCAGGAACCCCGGGCAGGCTATTACAGTCCCTCAGGGTGAACTTGATCTCAATGTAGACACGCTGCGCTCCTTCTCGGCTGATGTGGCGCGTCCTCAGCCAGTTGTTCTGGTTGGCCTCCATGACGTTACACACCTGATAGGTCCTCATCGGGGTGTTCCTCTCATCCATCACACTAATCTCCTCCCACTGAGGACAAGAGGTAGAGAAAAAGGAAAAGCAAAGTGAGCCTGGCAGATGAGAGAGATACAATATGCTTAGTTTACCGTTCGTGAAGTTTCTGTGGCAGATTAAGGATTTTACGCATTTATCAGAAGCCATATTGATAGAGTGCAAGAGAGAGAAGTGGGATGATGTAAATAGACTGCACCTATATAGTGCTTTTCTACCTTACCAGAAAAAGCACTTTACAGTTGCTGCCACTCATTCACCCTTTCACACACACACGCACACCGCACACACTGGCCTGGCATGGGATAGGACCTAACCTGCCCTACCCCTGAGCCAGAACCGCCCCACAAGGAAAGAAGGGAAGAAGGAAGCCAGAAAGCAGAGAGGAACATGGAAAAGGTGAATTGAAGATGTAGAAGGGAAAAGGCTAAATGTCCACGAGCGACGTGAAAAGAAAGTGATACAAACAAGGGGAAAGTGAGGTCAAGGGGGAGCAGATGGTCATAGTGAACTACATGAAATTAAACTAGTAGTTTTTTTGTGTAGTTAACTACTGAAACTACACACAATATTGGGCCATTAAAGGAAACCTATATTTTCTGAACATTCATATTTGAATGTACCATGCAGTATGTGAGTGTCATTTCACCCTGGGCATGGACATTTTGAGTGCAAAACGGAACCACCTGTTGGATAAGAACTGTGTCATATAAACAAGAGATTCTGCTCCGACAAGTGCAGTAAAAAGATAGGCCCATTATTTAGACCAGTGTTCAAGCTGTTCACACTGTCTAAAAAGGTGCAAGGTGATGAATGTTTTAGTTGTTAAGACTGTGCAAAGCAGATGGTACAAAGCAGACAAATAAGACAACAGGCCAGTTTTTAGTGTATCGGTCAAATGGTCTAAAAAGCTGCAAGCTAAATAGTTTTTTCACTCCTATCGTAGTCAAAATCCAGATTTGTTTGTCTGTTTGCATTGTTTATTGCTTTGTTTATACTGTTTATTTTGTTATACTATACAGCCTTATATTGCTATCTTGTTTACTTGCCCCTTGCTACTGCCTTACATAAGGATATGCACATTAACATTGAGAGCCGCTGTACCAGAGTCAAATTCCTCGTGTCCAACACACCAAATAGCTAATAAAGCTGATTCTGATTCTGACTTTGTTTACAACCAAAATATAACGTTCTTTGCAATTTTGTCCCTGTGATAAGCTCGGATGGGTTTGTTTTGTTTTGGACAGGTTCATGTCTCAGGTATTAAACTTGCAAAGAAACTGAGTGGCACTTTTATGTGACTTTTTCGTATTTTATTTTGTTAGAATTTTGTATCATAGTGTATGTACACTGTCAATCTGATCTTTTTTTAAAATAGTTTTTAAGTTAGTTTTTTAAAGTAGCCCCTTTAATTTTCAGCCTAGGACTGTTATTATGCCATTTTATTACGTTTTGATAGTTTTTCATGTGAGAAAATAACCCTCTAGCTTTCAATCTATCCAAGTAATGCCAATTACAAATTTGCTCCAACGTTTTTTGGTGATGTGATGACCCGCTAATGTACCAGCTAGCTACCTCTACTTAGCAGGCATAGCTGTAGCCATTGTGCTCATATTATCACATTCAGTGACCTATGGGCCACGTGATAAGATGTACAATGTGATGATTCACGTAAATAAAGGTCGAGGCCTCTGTCACCATAAATTTTACCGTCTGTAACACTAGTGAGAGAGAAGTGGCAGCTGCTATTATGAATTGAATGAAGAACGAGCAACTGGTGTCATCACAAGTAAACATCCAGGTTCATCTGTGGCAAAATCGTGGTGTAGTAGTGAAGAATTTCTCTGACCAATTGGTAGTTAACTGGTGTCATCACAAGTAAACATCCACATTCATCTGTGGCAAAATTGTGGTGTAGCAGTGAAGAACTTCTATGACCAATTGGTAGTCTTCAATGTTTACATGTCACCATTTGGTATCCCCTCAGTTTGCTTGGAACCCCAACACAGGCGATACCAAAAATAATTACATGTCACCATTTGGTATCCCCTCAGCTTACTTGGAACCTCAACACAGGCGATACCAAAAAATAACAGAAGGTACCAGGTACTATCCCCAGCATTTGAATGATGGAAAAACAAATAAAGCAAGTAGACTCGAGTCGAGTTGAGCCAGTACCAGGTGGTGGAAAAGGAGCTATTGCTGTAGTTCAACTTCATCCTTGCAAAGCTATGCTTTCACACTGGCAAATGTGTGAGAAGCATGAAAGAGAACCGAAAAGAGAAGAGGTGAGGACAGCTGGGAAATATTTGCGTTTATGAGGAAATCCTTTCAACTAAAACATAAATTGTGGACGTGCAGGCAGGGTAGATTGAAACTGAGCAGCACAGGGCTGGGCTTGACAACAGCACCACTCAGCTGCAAGATCATCCTATTTCATCGCTTGTCAATGAACAAAGGAGATCTCAGTCCAAAGATTGCTTATGGGAAACTGGGCTCAAGTTCAATGAACTGTGGTTTAGTGCAAACCAACACTAAGCCTGCATGTTTTGTTTTCATGTCTGGGTGAATATGAGTGATGATCTGTGTCAGGATGACTGAAGGACTGTCTTTGTCTGTGCTGCACGTGTGCACAGAGTGAGCGTGTTTTTCTAAAGTGAATGCGTGATTTAGCGTTTATGAGTTAGGTGTATGTGACACAGAGAAAAAGAGGAGAGAGAGTGAGAACTAGGCAGACAGAGCTACTTTGTCTCCCATCATCTGTTACCATCTGTTTCCACTTCTGACTAAGGCAGTAATTGAGAACACTTCTCGCATGAGCAGGAAAACATTTCTATTTACACACACACACACACACATATCATTAACACGCATACACAAAAAGAACATTTCTATTCCTTAAAGAAAAGGAAAATAAACCAATGTGGCTTTAGTGACTCGAGATCTCTATCTATTCAAGCGGAAGCTAGCTGGATTTTCTTGGACACACTCGCTCTAAAACCCACACAAACTGGATGAGTCCCAGTTTGTGGTGAGGGATGAGAGGGCCACCATCCTTCTTAAATGAATTTTAAAGAAGCTTTAGTGACGAGCACATATCACTTTACTCTAGTCTGGCCATGTAAACACATAATCCACGGTATGAACACATAATGTATACACATATGCACACACAGACCGAGGCTCACTATACAGTATCTGTCATCATTAACATCTCCTAAAATTCAGATGAAAACAGAATTGTAGAAGAAGTGAGATACAAGAGAAAAAAACAAAAGGAAAGAGAGAAGTCTAAGCTACGGTCGGATTCTTGAGGTTAATTGGATGTGACGGCCCAACAACCTGGCAAGAACTTGACATATTTTACCTCAGTCCTGAGCACAAAAGAAAAAAAATCTCACACACAATCATTTTCACATTGCAGAAACTTCTAGCCAATGCTTATAATCTCCATGGCCTCCACTGAAATTGTGTATGAACTGGAGCTCGAACAAAACCAGCTCTCCCTTGATCCTAACTCAACAGTCCTTTAACAGAAACAAGTAGAAGAAGAAGAAGAGGAGGAGAAGGAGCTAAACATTTTTTAAGCTGCTGCAATTAACTAAAACAAATGTCCCTGACAGCCAGTTTAGAATTTGAAGATTATATACAAAAGAAGTATCACTCGATTTTTGCTTGACATTATGTGCGCACAGCTGTGAGTCATTAGGATCAACCACATTCGAACCAATTAAAAGAACAAACACAAGATGGAGGGAGAAAGAAAAAACAGGAGAAAGAGGAATGAATGTCGGTATGTTACAGGCGCGCCTGGCAGCTAAACAGACCCATCTGTGCAGAGCTGAGACCAGTCGGACATCACAGGACAGTCGCACACAACCACACACACACAAAGTCTTTGGGGAGTAGTGATTAAAGCATTTATGGGAATAGTCATCGAGGGATAAAGAGGGCTTTATGATGTCTTTGTTTATTTCTTCGTAGCCAGAGTTTGGAGTGGCTGGATCACTGCCACTTCACGGTGAGCGCCTTATTTCCCTAGCTGGCGAATCTGTTCATTGTCACTTTTGCCAGGTGTGTTTATGAGCATGGAAGAAACCTGCTTGCCTCCATATGTGTTAATGATCCACCAGCCACCAGCCACTTGAGAGAAAAACTACCAAAAACACAAGGAGGAAAGTGTTTGAATAGCCCAGAGTTCAGGCTCCCTTTCTTATTCTGTAAACACAGACACACAAAATGAAAGCTGTTGTGAGTGTTGGTTCAGTTTGAACACTAATTAGCATTCAGAATTAAACCATCCTCCCTGAACCCTCAATCACCTTGGTCCAGTCAGCACAGAGCCCATTTGATTGCTTTGAAGTGAAGCAGAGATATCGGATCAGGATTTAAGTTCAACTATTCACCAGCTTAACATAATATCCCTCCCGCTGCAGTCATCTGATGGGTACACCTACAAGGACATAATTGGCCTCTGAACTTCCAACAAATTCTGGCTTAGTGACGCAGGATAGAGAACAAGAGAGAAAAGCAGAGATGGAAGATGAGGAAAAAGGAGGGGAGGGAGCCATGAGGAGCCTCTGGGGGAGTCGAGACGCTGAGGGGCCTCCCATTTTCAGACATCATTAAGAGGTATCTGTTTTGTGTCCTTCAAGAGGAACACTCCCGCCTGGTAGTGACACAAGTGGGTCGCTCCACGCAGTCTCAGGCACCTCCGGCTTAGATTAAACATGCCCCGCAAGGGTCAAGTGTGGCTCTGGACTAATTCAGGTAGACAGTGGTCTGTGAATGGTGGGAATCGGCCATCACTGAGAACAATCCCCAGATTTAAAGTTCAAAAGTCAACTATATAATCCCACTGATTTGAAACATAAGACCTTCCTCCTAGCCTTGGCGCTCTCTATTGCCTTTTCTCCTTTACATTAGATCCATGGAACATTTTATTTTGAGTTATAATAAACATACAAAATTGTTGGTGACACGAGCTGTGCTAGTCTCTGTACTGATTTTTATGATGTATACCACCAGGTTAGATGTAATTTTATATTTGCCTGTTTGTTTGAGACTGTCCTATAAAATACAACAGGTTTTTACAAGGAACATGTTATAGTTTGGTGACATCTAGGGTGTTTATCAATACCTAGAACTTGGGAGTTCAGGCTTGATAAGTTTGAACTTTAAGTACAATCTCTCGAGAACGGGAGGATGCAGTACTCTCAAAGTGCAATTGGAACACCAGCGTCTTTGCTGACAGACTACTCTGCTCTGAACAGGATGTAGCTGCCTGCTAATTATAGCTAGCTGTTCCCTTTGCAGATACACTACTGGCGTCTCTGAAAACATAGGAACAAATTCACAAATCAGCATTAATTTGATAGACTGACCACATATTCTCAACCTAAGTGGTTACTTTCTACATGAAAAAATATCAAACCTTTATAAAGCAGCCAAATGCCAGGCCTAGGATGAAAATTATAACAGCTTTGAGCCTGGCATGCAGTGCATTCTGGGATACTTGGCTGCCCCAAGTCCACACAAGTCAGCTCCCAAAGCATCCTTGATAAAATAGGTGGAGCAAGTCTGGTATTTTGATGTGTACTTGGCTGGATGCAGACTTTTATTTAGAACAGTACTTTCTGATGATGTTTCATAAGTTTACAAGAACACAAGTACAGGCTGTTTTCATGACGACAAAGGCCCCTAAAGCTTGGCAGTTCAATGTGCGCTGTCGTTAATGTTGGTGGAATTGTTGCAATTCCTCCCATGACCGTAGCAACACTATTTAATGAGGTGCCACTTTGGGTCTTACGAGAGGGAAGATACAAATGACCGTATGGTTTGTTTGGGTTGGAGGACTTGTTGATGATGTAGTAAGAGTCTGTCATCCTCGGCTCCTCATGTAACAGCCTTTTTCTCTAGAATATTTCAAACTGACAAAACCCTGCTGAATTGGCCCATAGCTTGCTGTGTAGATCTGCTTTTGTTGAAAAATAGCATCGATAACAAAGCTCCCATAACTTTCCCCCATGTACAACATAAGAGCATCACAAACAACAGTTAACAAAAAGTAAAAACTGGGATAGTGCTGAGTTTTGAGGTAAACAGTGATGTGAAACACAAACTTCAATGTTTCTGTTGCTTCAGTTAAGCTTTATTTGCTTGTGTTGTGGCATCTAACTGTAGCAATCAATGTATTTCTGTTCTAACAAGCAGAAGCAGCTGTTTAGTTCATACAACTGATTGTTTTGTATTTCTCTTTTTTGCTGAAATTGAACAAGGGGGAACATTTATCTTGGAGGAAGACAGCATAGGCGTCACGTACCACAAGACAAACTGAGAACATTGAAAGCGAAGACATTACCAGCTTTAACCAATTTAATAATGTCCTTGGTCAGATCTGGTAAAGCAGCAGATAAAGACAATGCTTAACCCCAAATATTCAAACAAAACTGTTTTGTTTTAATAATGCATGTATCAGGTTATACTGTGTGTGTATCAGTTTATACTGAATTATCAAGGATCTTTTTGTAGTATTTATTTGACAGAGAAGTTCTGTGGCGTTATTATGTTGACAGTTCGAGAAGAAAAGATATAGAGGATGGAGTTTATTATATATCGTTTACTTTTCAGTCAACACAGCTCTTTGGGGGTAAACTAACAACACATGTTTTTGCAATCCAGGATTAAGCCACCCCAAACTGAACTGCATTTTCAATAAAAATAACTTGTCTACTCAAAACTAGATGGAACACATTCTGATCTCTGTGAATAAAAACACAGACAATATGGCCACACAGTCAGAGCATTTCAGTGAACTTGTGACCCTTGATTGCTTGAGAGAACAACCTTGCTTTGCTCTGCTCACTTCAGCTTCCTCTCTGCTGCACACAAGCATGAAACTTTGTGTGGCATCCTGCAACTGAATACACTGATATTGAATAATGGTGAGGAAGTGAGACTCAAGGGGAAATAGAATTTGTCTATTCAACAGCTCCTGTGCTGGGGTGACATACAGTACGGAACCTGCTCTTATTTCTTTATTGAATGCGCTGCGTGGTCCTTCCTCTCTCTCCTCTTTCACCCTCTTCCTCCCCTCTCACATCTCTGTTGTCATTTTCTGATTCATAGTGGCTGCACTCCAGACTCCCTTGGTCCCTATACCTGCAAAAGGCCAGTTAGGCAACCCTTGCACGCACACATACACACATGCAAGTAACACAATCATGTACACACCACGTCCTCTTATGTAAGAATATTTACCCTGCCACCCTGTCCCTTCACTCCATCCCAAAAATCATAACCAGTAATAAATGGAGGCTGCAGTACCACAGTGTTTTCAGCACAGTGGAAATAATTTGTAAATTCCCCCTGCAGACTCCCGATTTAGCAAGGAACGCTCAGTGCTCTCTAAACTACACACTCCAGTGCTGCTGCTATCTCTGAGCCTCTGCCTGGGCCCTGAAAATAAAACATGTCAACACAATCGGTAAGTTATGATCAGATTTATACCTTTGGTGCCAACTCCAGCATAAAGAAAGGATGATGAGTTGTGTGTGTGTGTGTGTTCTTGTACCTGCTATTTAAGGAGGACCAAAAAATCTTTTTTCTATAGAGTGAGGACGTTTTTAAAACATTTCTAAAACATCTTTTTGAGGGTTAAGACTTGGTTTTAGGGTTCAGGCTAGACTTAGGTTTAGGTAGAGATTAGGGTTAGGCATTTAGTTCTGATGGTTAAGGTTAGAGTAAGGAGCTAGGGAACGCATTACGTCAGTGAGTGTCCTCATAAAGACAGAAGTACAAGTGTGTGTGTGTGTGTTGAACTGCAGATACTCACTCCCTCATTAGGGTAAGCCTCCCAGCCCAGGTCGGCTAAGGCTGACATGGAGTCCAACAATGTAACTGCAGGAACAAAGAGAGAGAGAGGGAATAAACATGTTAAACAGCTACCGAGGAACAGCTTGTGGCATTTCATTTCACAGTCCATACTTCCATAAATGCACGGTAATGTTTTCAGTGTGGAGAAATTACTGTATTGAATGCATCATCATAACATCATACTGTAAACCTTCCATATAAAAACTGCAAGATGTTTTCATGTTTTATACAAGGTTATCTTTTGCTGTGTTGCATTATGGCAGCGGTGAAATCGCAAGCAGTGGTAGACCTGTAATTTCAACTTCGAGTTTATAGCAGCTGTGTTGCTAGTGTAATGGTTCAAGGGCACACAAAGTCAGTCAGTTAAACAGTATCCAGATACAGAGGCAAGAGTTAATTTTATAGTTTCATTTACACTTTAGACATTTAAGTGACACTCCACTTAAAATGCCTCTTCTCAATATAAGCCTCTCACCTCCTGCCGGTTTAAAAAATGAATATTAAACATTTGAAACTTGTGTTTTTATAGTCAAGGTGTACTCAAAGTGGTTAGTGGATTTTAGTGTCAAGTTTTCATGTCACAAAATCTCAAACCACACCAGCAAAATCATCTCTTGTCTTTTGCTGTTCATCTGTATGCTTAATATGTTCTTATAGTCTGTTTATTTCCAAATATGAATAATATGCTTTTGTTTTTCATTCTCATCACCCTGTCAGGCCCACGAGCAGGGACGTGTTGGTTTGTGCAAATTAAAGCAGAAGCCTCCAGCTGCTATAATTGTCAGAACTACTTAAGTCAAGCTCAGTTCTTGGCTGGAACAGCATAATAAAGTGGGAGAGATATGAAAGGTTACTGTCAACATTTATTACCCATTTCCCCAAAACCCTGTCACACAGTGAAAGCCACTGTGTACATTTTGAATCCAGGCTCATCCCAAGCCCTGTTTACATTCAAAGGGCCAATTCACTCAAATAAAAAAAAAAGGGCATTTCTTGCCTCCCATATTGATACAGAATATTTAAGGAACATGTTTCTGAGATTTACACCACCCAAAAACATTGGAGATGAAGAGAAACTGCATTTCAACAGCAACTTCTAGAGTGTTTTATCCCGGTTTCTCTGGAAAATCCACAGGCTTTTCTGAGCGACGTTGAACTTTTCATTTGAGATTTTTTAACCGAAACCAGGGGCTTTCCTTAACCATAACCATTCTGTGTCTAAACTTAACCATGTTTAAGGAATGTCTGCCATTGTCTTTAATATTTGCCGCCAGAAAAACTTTGCCATGTCACAATTTTCAAGGCATTATTGTCAAACTAGTAGGTGTGCACTGTGGACCACCATACATATAGTAGGTGTGCACTGTGGACCACCATACTGTATCTACTGTATTCTACATTTTGCTGTGAGACTGGGTTGCTCCATGGCTGGATAGCTTCATACTGAAAACACAATGTGTTTTTGTCATTTGGATGCACCAACCCCTTCAATGTGCAAACTACAAATATATAATCAACTTTCAAACCTAAAAAAAGTTTAATACTGTAACTTTGATACTAAAATTATTTTGTTGGAATATCACTTTAATAGCAGAATGTCATGTGACATGCGCACGTTGTTCCCTGTGTGTCATCTCTGTGTGAAAGGAGGAAGGTGAGAATGAAAAGTGAGGAGAAGAAGGTAGCAGGCTGACCAGCGGGAGGCATAAAGAAAACCTGTTCAGACACAGGGCTCTCCACCTGTGTGTGTATGTGTTACTTGTTAGTGCGTGTTCTTGTTGAGGCTTGGCTCAGTCAGGTCCTAATCAAGCCTTCAACACCATTGACCATCAATATTTAATCATTACAAGTACACACACTGTGGCTCTCCCAGGTTACTGCTGAAATCTTTGAACTTGTGCTTTCAATCCAAGAATCCCAGATCAGAAATCTGAGTCATCTGAGTCATTGACCTGACAGAATTTAAACTGACTGCATCACTTGAAAGCAGCATACTTTCATGTTCCCTCCAATTTTTATAAGGTAGCAGCAGTGACCTGGAAAACAATTCCGAAGTAAAAAGAAAGCACAGTTTGCTCTCCTGAATGCAAATGAGACTAATCACTCAATTGAAAGAGGCTGAAAGTGCCTGTTTACAAGCCCCTCTGTGTATCCATACTGCCTGTAAAATTGGTCCAACCTCTGTTTTTCCTCTCTCTTTCTCTCCCTCTCTTTCTCTCTCCCTCTTTCTTTCCCTCGTGCTCATGCTGTTCATCAGCCCTAACTGAATCCCAGCCGTTCTCCCCAGCTCAGCAACACCATGACAGCAGGGGAGGCATGTCATGCTGTATTAGTGTGTGCGTATGCGCATGTAATGGCACGCATATCTGTGCACGCTCAAACACAGCAGCATCTGTGTGAAAAAGCAGCTATAGAGAAAATAGCGCACATGGTATAATGAAGCTGAGAGAGAGGCTGCACAGCAAGGGTGAAATGAGAGAGCTAGATTAAATGAGAGGGAGGAGACAAAAACAGTGGAGGAAAGGTGCTGAGAAGTGAAAGGTCAGAGGAAGCCTCCAGCCCATGTGTGCATTCAGACTACAGAGCATTTAGAATGCTTTCCTCAGTGCATGGGCATTTGAGTGGCATACAGAAATAGGACATAATAGTATAATAATATGTGATTTCAGGGCCCAACTGAGGGTCAGACACGCTCTTACACAGAAACACACACATAAGCTATCATTTCTGCTCAGAGATGAAAGCTATTGTACCTATCCACAAGGTTTATGGAATTTAGTGAAATTGTCTGTTTCACTTACAGACAATTGTACCAGTGATGTTCTCTGTGACTCACTTTGTTAAACCTTTCCATCTGTTTCACAGAGAGTGTAACTGAATGTAGCTTTGATTCACCTAATTTATATTACAAAAACATATTGTCTCGCCTCCCTAGCAGTGTATCTAAGCTTACAGATGGTTCTGAGATATCAGCAGAACACAGTGGAAGTGAACAGATCCTTGTTGTGTTTGAAACTGCAAAAAACTCAATTGAAATTCTGTGCCTGTGAATCGTTTCAGAAATAATGTCCCGGTCAAGTGTCAACGTGATGATTTTTCACTGGAACTTCTTTCCACCAAAGAAACTGTCCATTGTGTTTTATTGAAAACCCTGTGGAATAAAGATGTTGTTCACATGTAATTCCTCTACTATTACTCCATACATCCAGTTTACAGGATGTACAGTTGCTAACTGTTAGCTAGTTAGCTATACACTGACCATGTGTGTGTCAATGTGTTCTAAACTGATCTGAACACTCAGCATAAACTCCAGTTCCCTGTTGTTTTGTTCTCCTCCTCTTTTATCTGCATGTTTATGATGTGGGATTCATTAAACCATTAAAATAAGTGCAAATTTTTCACTGAATTTGAAACATTTTTAAATGCCCCAGTTTACTGTATATTCTGAAGATCATTTACTGATGAATGTTTAAAAGGAAATACTTTTGGAAAATACAATTATTTGCTTTCTGGTGTGAAGATTAATGAACAGTTCTTTTAGCCTTGCATGACAGGAGTAAACAGCTCGCTCTCCAGCACTTCTAAAGTTCACCAACTGATATGTTGCATCTTGTTTGTTTGGTCCATAGACAAAAATAAATGCTTATAGGGATAGTTACATGCTGAAACTATTTCTTGATTTCTTGGTTCCTTCTGGCTGTAGCTCTGCACGTGTAGAGTTCCTCCTTATGCCTTACATATTCTAAAACCATTTTGTAGCCTACTGGGAAAACATGCACACATAAACCTACACATCAACACTTTGTCTCTTCTTCTCACACCTACTGTCACACCACTTATCAATTGTAAACAATGACTGGATTCATCAATTATGTTTTAGCTATAGCTTCCTGTCTGCTGACTCAGCCAGAGTGTATATAGGCTGGGTACTGTGTACCTCTGTGTATCTGTTGCTAAAGACAGGCAGAAAACTGGGAAATTCTAAAAATATATACCTTTTTCCCCCTACACACACACACAGCCACACCTCCCTGTCCCTCCACCTCTAAATGTTCTCACTCTTTCTTCCGCTATGTCTTCTCTTTCTCTGGGGAATTGGCAAAATTTTATGTGGGTGAAATTTAAGCCTGGGCCAGGCCTAACCTGGCCAGGAATAAAAACACAAAACTCATCACTTAGACCAGGCTGGAGCTCAATCTAATGACCAGTCTCTCTCTTTCACACACTAACACGCAGAATCTGAAACACACAGACACAATCTTCAGGTTGATGAGCAGCAAGACATAACATCTTGTACCCACAATGGTGCATCTTCCAATAATTCAGTGACAACAATGGAACTAAAACAATGACAAACATGACCTCCCCCCCGGCTATTCTCCCTAAAACAATACCTCTCCCACGCAAGCAAATTCACTTAGGGACACACACATTTCTATTATTTCCCAAACTTTCATCACAGGGCATAAATGCATATATTCATGCACATGCGACCTGATTACTGTGAGAGTTGTTTGTTTACAGAGAGACCTGCTGTATTATTGATTTTCAACACAGAATTGTGAGTTGTACATGAGAGTGAAAGATGAGGAGGACGGGGAGCAGAGGGTGTGAAGTTGTAGATGAAAGATTCCTCTGCAAATGCAGTAAAATGCTGAAACCACATAGAAAATACAAAACATTTTCCCCTGTCCTCCCCATCTTAAGGTGTGTGTGTGTGTCAGTTATGTGTGTTTGTCCATGTGTGTATGTGTAAGCATCCTGGTGTCTTTTTGTGCCAGTCTGGCTGTTGGCAGTGCTGTTTGATTTTTGGCAGGTGGATCACAGCTTCTTGCAGCCCAGCTGAAACAGCAGATACCGACCAGAGAGAGAGTGGCAGAGAGATGTAAACAGACAGAAGGAGTGAGGAAAGAGAGGAAGACAGAGAGAGACAGCCACCCCAGAGGGAGGAAACAGGAGTGAGGAAAAAAATAGACAGTATCACAAAGCAGAGGGAGTGGACAATAAGACCACCACACAGACTC